GAATAAAATTTTTCTCAATTGATAGGAATAATTAAAGTAAGGACAAAGTCTTTTAATAGAAGCCAAATAAACTATAATTATATTGCTATATGTTATATTACATTAAAGAATTATATTATTGTTGAATTGTAGTGAATTCTCTGGACTAGTATTAAGTTATACATTATTGTATTGTTTTGATATTGTATTCTCTTTCAAAGCTGAAAGGCATGAAATAAATATCTATCTATCTATCTATCTATCTATTTAATTCTAATCACACAAACACATAACTTGCTCACATATACACGCTGACAAATATTTTTATTTTTTTATTCTTGACATCTTATTTTTTCCATTTTTTAGTCGAAATTTTATATATTTTATATATATATATATTTTTATTTATTTATTCGTTTTTTTTATATTTAGAGGCTGAGTAGCGCCAAGTGTTTCTACATAACAATTTTTTTATTTAAATAAAATTTTATTATTTATTTTGTATTGTTACTCTTTAATTCTTTGTGATAAAAACTTAGGAGTAAAATAATTTTGTTATATAATAATATTTTAAAGCTAAATAATTACTACTTGGGTTAGAAAAGAAAGAGTCTTGAGTGATCTAAAAAGATATACATATCATTTGATTTTTATTATTTTTAAATTAAAGATACTACCGCTTGGATTTTATTTTTTAAAAATAGTGATACATCAAAACTTTTATACAAATAAAATATATAATTTGACTAAGGTGGACTTGTATCTTAATTTTATTGGACTATAACTTGGCGCCAGTTATTGATATCAAATCTTTTATACAAATATTAATGAGAATGTTTCTTAAAATAAAAATTTACGAATCGGACTTTGTGTAGCATTATCTTCGCTCATAGGGCACGTATGTTCCTTTACTTTACACTCTTTTTTACCTTTTTTTAAAAGGTAATTTTGTAATAATTAATAAAATACAGTATATGTGGCTATTGTATTTTGTAAAATTGAACGGTTTAGTAGTCAAAATTGATCAAACACATTCAAGAAATTTTATTTTTATTTATCATCTAGAGAATTGTTTATAACATTAAAATTATTGGTGTAATTCAAAAAGAACTCCCGGAAATGACATTGTTCTCGCCGATAATTGATGATTTCCGCATATCCTTGGCTAATTGTTTGATTTTTCGGAATAAGCGAATTCTATTTGTTCTTTCCTGATTCTTTGATTCGTTTCTTCTGACCTTGGTTATCCACTTTATCTTTCGGATTGTTCAGAAATGTCACATTATTTTCTGCCTCTCTTCTTTTCCATCATTATCTTGATCAATCGGATAAGAGAATTATTCATCTCTTCCTCGATTATGTAACAAATTTAAGTCTAGTTTGGGCAAATCCACTATTGGCCAAATGCTTTGTGTTACTCTGTTCTCTTTTTGTTCGGTGATGGCATCTGAAATATTGTTAGTGTCCTCAAAGATCAATGTATTAAGGCTTAGAATCGAATTAGTGAGCGAGCTAGCATTCCATTCAATGATCTCTTCACTGCTGATGGATACTCTATCTTGATTGTGATTTTGGTCTCTCTTGTCGTTTTTAATATCACCGATAGTCTTGAAATAAATGCTATGGTCATACTGATACGTTTCTAGGCAATTGCTATCCAACTTGCTGTTCGATTGATAATTGAAAGTGCCACAGCAGTTAATTTTGGTCTCTTCTGGATGTAATTTCAACCTGGATCGTTTGAGATTATGGAATTGCAGTGGAATTTCATCGAAAAATGTGTTCCAAGATTCCTGCACAGTCTGTCGATACTTAAACCACCTGATTTATTTTTGTTTGCATTAAAAATATTTCTTTATATGTATTTTATTTGAACAGTAGTTCGACCTTCATTATATATTTTATAATATAACATTATATATTTTAATTCTTAACAAATTGTTTACTAATAAATAACAATAAATCTCTCCCTCTCTCTCTTTTTTTCCTTTTCTT